CCGCATGGGACCCAGGCCTGCAAAAGCCAACCTCCACCATCGTCATCAACCCCCTCGCTCACTCCATGACCGCTCTGTGCACTCCAGCTCTGGGACTGTCCCGGCACACGGGTTCTCAGTGTGGTCCCCAAACTGGCATCATCAACATCACCTGTGCAGATGCCCAGGCGTCTCCCTGGACTGGGCTGAAAGGGGAGTTCTGGCATGGTGCCCCCCTAAAAGACTACGATGCATGCAGAGGTTTGGAAACCTCTGTCTGAATGGGAAAGAAGCATGCATGCAAATAAACAAAACCACTTGAGGTGTGGTTGGATCTATGAAATAAAGGAATGAAGGGAAAACAAGGCAGTGCCACATGCCACCGTCACCCCAGTCCTGGGAGGACTCCCGCCCACCAGAGGCAAGAACACGCCCTTCCAACATCCACATCACCTGCGCCCTAGAGCCTCGGCTCTGGAGGACCGTGGGCCGTGGAAACGCTGTGTGGCCAGGCAGGCGTGGGCGACCCCTAGAGAACAGCAGCCCCAACGTGGAGTGGGGAACGGGCTATGGAGCTGCAGCAGTGCTGGGGGGACCGTGGCTCAAGGAGGAGAGAAAGAAGGAAGGCGCTGAATTGGAACTCAAGTCCAGGGGCCCCGCCATGGTCTGGCTGCTTGTGCCCCCCCAAGTTCACGTGCTGCAATCTAACCCCCCAGGTGAGGGTACCAGAGCGGGGGTCTTGGGGGTGAAGAGGTCACAGAAGCAGCCCCAGAGGGCAGTCTTTGCCTCCTGTCCTGTGAAGCCACAAGGTGGCCCCTGTGAGGAGTCGGCCGTCGTCAGACCTCAGAGCTGCCTGCACACTGGTCTCGGGTGGCCCCGTTCCTGGAACTGTGGGCAACACACTGCTACTGTTTATAAACCACTCAGAATACAGTATTGTGTTCTAACAGCCTGAAAGTACCACAGGCTCCTTAGAGCAAAAAGAGAGGAGGGTAGGAAGAAAGAGAGAAGTGCACTGGAGACAGAAAAAGGCTAGGGGCCCCTGGTCATGGTGGTGATGGTGGTAATGACGGTATCAGGATGGCGGTGACGGCGATGACTGTGTTGGTGATGGCAGCCATTGTAGGATGGGGTGGGGACGGTGATGGTGGTGGTGACAGTATGGTGAGGATGATGGCAATGATGGTGATGTGATGGCGGCGGCAATGGTAATGTTAGTGATGGTGGTAGTGGCTGCAGGATGGGGCGGAGACAATGATAGTGATGTTGGTGATGATGGTGATGGTGATGATGGTGGTGATGGTGTGATGGTGATGGTGGTATGGTGACCATGTTAGTGATGTTGGTGATGGTGACAATGATGGTGACAGTGCTGATGGTGGTGATGGTGTGATGGTGATGGTGGTATGGTGACGGTGTTAGTGATGGTGATGATGGTGATGGTGACAACGATGGTGATGTGATGATGGTGAGGAGATGGTGGTGGCAGTGGTGACAATGTTAGTGATGGAGGTGACGGTGACGGCTGCAGGACGGGGTGGAGACAGTGACAGTGGTGGTGATGCTGACACCATGACAACAACAGGATGGATCAAGTTCTTAATCCAGGCCAGGCCCTCGGACCGCCTGTACCATCTCCCATAACCCTGCCAAGGGCCAGTGACACAGCCATGACCAGATCCCCACCCCACTGTGGGAAGCAGAGCTCAGCACCAGGAAGTGCCTTCCCCAGAATCACTGAGCCAACAAGACTGCTCAGCCAGAACTTCAACCCGGCTGCTGGGCTCCAGGTCCAGCACCCTTAGCAGATGACTGGAGACTGGGAAGCAGAGGGGAACAGTGCAGAAGACCAAGCCCTGGCCACGCCCCAGGCCCGGAGGACACCCCCTTAGCCTGCTCCGTTTTCCCTCCTCCACAGCACGGACTACCCTGATGCACCAAGCCACGTTCGTGCTCCTGACGACAATCACTTATTCTCTGATCCCTCCTAGAACAGACTCCCCCGGGGACACATGTGAAAGCAGGCATCCCCAGAGCTAAGAACGGTGCCAGGGGGCTGGCGTTGTGCGCAGTGGGCTAAGCCACTGCTCACAACACCGACATCCTGTGTCACAGCACTGGTCCCAGTCCCAACTGCTCTGCTTCCAATGCAGCGCCCTGCCAATAGGAATGGGAAAGCAATGGAAGATGGCCCAAGGACTTGGGTCCCTGTCATGCATAGGGGAGACCCAGATGGAGTTTCTGGCTCCTGGCTGTGGCCTGGCCCAGCTCTAATAGTTGCAGCCACTTGGGGAGTGAACCAGTAGATAGAAGATCTCTCTCTCTCTCTCTCACACACACACACACACACACAGTCTTTCAAATAAACAAATCTTTTAGGAAGATAAATCAAGCTTTTGCCATCCTCTGCGAATGAGAGAGAGAGAGAGAGAGAGAGAGAGGCTGGTTGATACGTATCTTGGTCAGGCACACAGGCACAAAGCTGTCCTTCCTCCATTTTTGCAGCCAACACGTGTGTCCCTTCAGTCGCTAACAAACATGTGCTGAGCCCCCACCCCATGCTGGATTTCAAAATGTCTGATTTCCTCATTGTAGCCCTGGTTGAGAGCTGGAGACATCAACACAAATATGACAAAGCCTGCAGGAAGCAGGAGTCTGGGGAGACTAACACAGTACCCAGCGGAGGGTGGAAATGATGGAATCACACAGCTCCCACGGTGGCAAGAAGCGCCAAGGGACTGTCATTTCTGAGGGTAGAATTTGAGAGCAGGATCTTAGCAGACAGCTCACTGCTGCCCCCTGGTGGAGATGAGGAGGAAGCACCGCATGGCAGTCATCTGCCCAGCCTGCCCACAGCAAGGTCATAGTGCGACAAGGCAGGGAGGCAAGGAGACCACCGCCGTAAGGGACGGCCACGTGCTGGCAGACGCACGCAATTCAATCACTCGTTCCACCAAGCTCAGAGGCCTTGCAGCAGGCGCGTGCCTGGCATGCTGGGAAGAACCGAGGCGGGCAGAAAGGAAATGAGCAAGACGGAGAGGAGAGGCCGGGCCAGAGGTGCCGAGGTCCAGCCCTTGGAGGCCCTGGGGCCACGGCCAAGGGGTCAGCTGGGCTTCAGACCCAGGAAAGGCCTGCGAGAGGACCACGCTTCGGGTGGGGCCTGAGGATGCCAGAGATTCACTAGAAAGACCCGGAGAAGGGACCCCTGGGCCATGGGTGAGGCGGAGCCCACACCGGGCCCAGGGGATGGACGTGTTGGTCACTGATGGCTAGAGAGGGGTCATGACCTGTGGGGCTCCCAGTGAGAGCCAAGCCTGGGGGGTGCCCTGTGACCACGGGATGCAGAGGGGGAGGGCATATTCACTCAAAAGTATCTGCAGGACCCCCACTGCATGCCTGGTGCTGCCCTGCAGCCTGGGAACAAGACAGGGGCTCCTGCAGCCTGTAGCCTGCAGCCTGGCGCGGGGCCGGAGGCCTCTGATTAAAAAATCGCCCCCCAAATCAGAATCAAAATGTGCTCTGCGTCCTGCCTCCCTCCTACAGCAATGAGAAGTGGCCAGGGACACTCGGGAGAGTCAGAGCCAGGGACCGCCCCTGCACGGGACGGTCTTAGCAAGGGGTCTTAGCTGAGCCGACCTCAGCCCTGAGCAGTGGGGAACTGGCTCTAAGCACGAGGCACCAAGGGATTTGCTTAGAGGACGCTGTCTCAGGACCTCCCCCGGCAACGTGCGGCGGTTCTTTTAAAGGATGAAGAGCGCTGGCTGAGTCAGAGGACGCTGCAGGCGCTGGACCGGGAAGCCCCCTCTCGGCCGTGCTGGCGCAGCCGGGTCGTGGGCCGACAGCTCCGTGCCACGGCTAAGGAGCACATGACTGTCCCAGCAGTCCCTGCCGGTGGCTTTGCTTCCCAGAGAACATCCGGAAAGATCTAGAGCCCCTGCCGTCTGTAATGACTGCAAACGGGGCAGGAGGCAGGGGCGTCCTTATCTATGGGGCGGGGGCAAGGGTCTGCTCAGGACAACCCTCGACTCACGGTCCCTTCTGAGGTGGGCTGTAGCCCGAATCAGGAGGAAGAATGCAAACGGGCACGCGTGGGGGCTCGGCCAACGGTGGCTTCCCACACGCTGTCTGTTCACCGCCCTGCCTCCCGACTGCTGGCTCCTAACAGCGTGGGGCAGTACTTGTCCAGGGTTGGAGTTCGTTCCAGCAAGGGCACCTGACACCGCAGACTGGTGTTCAACAGTGACACCTGCTGGCGGGAACGGGCATAGCCGCTTCCATGGGCCCAGAACGCTGGCGGTGAGGCGATGCATGCAGACGACCCCTGGGGACTGAAAGACCCCAGAGGTGGTGAAGGAATCGCCAGACTGGAGAGAAGCAGAAGTCGCAAGAGAAGGCTGAGTGCTGCCAGCTACAAACAGCAAACAGGTACTTGGGCGATTAACTGGAACAACCAGGAGAGGTGACACTACACATGGACCCCAAACCCATTGAACAAATCAGAGGTTATTTTATTGGGTAAATTTTAGATAGATAAATATACATATAGAGATATAGCTTCCAAATAATATGTATGGGTAGTCCCAATTCTGCCCTATAAGAAATGTATACACATACCCATTTGGGGGAAGAATTATACCAAAATTCATATGGACATGACAGCAGGTCCTTAGGGGATGGGAACTTAGGTCATTATTTTTTAAGTCTATTTTCTAATTTATGATACCACGAATGCATATCATTTATGTAAAAAGTCAGAAGCAAAACGAATGCATATCATTTATGTAAAAAGTCAGAAGCCACACGCTGACCCAAAATCAAACGTCCAGCCAAAAGGCCCAGGTTGCCTGTGCACACTGCATATCCGACACCTGTCACCCAACCCGAGGCCCCTGCAGCCTCAACAGGTGAGCGCAGGCAGGAGGTCAGCGCCGGCAGGCTCCGCCCCTCCATCCAGCCTGCAGCCCCAGGCCCGGCTCGCCCGCCTAGGCTCAGCAGCAGCTCCGCCCAGCCCGGGAGCTCACCTGACGTGTGCACGTGGCGCAGGCAGGACAATGAGGCGTTGAGGCGCGCACACTCCTCCCGGTTGACTCCGTATTTCTCCACCGTCTCGCACACCTGCTCGTCCGTCATCTCCAGCAGGTCCTCCAGGCTCAGCTGGCCGGGGGAGATTTCCTAGGGCAGGGCACGGAGAACGACAGTCACCTGGGTGGCCACTGGGCAGAGGGCACGGCGTCCCAGACTCCATGCTGCCCTGCGGCCGTGCCCTCGGGAAAGGGCTGACAGCTGGGGCGGGGGCTCAGGGCTGGACTTGACCCTGGGCCACCTGCAGCCCGGGACAAGGCGAGAAAACAGAGGACAGTGCACAGTGGGCAAGGGGCAGGGAGAGGCAGGATCCCCAGCTGTGTGTGCACTGAGCGTGTGTCCCCTCACGGCCACCTGGATCTCCCCTGTGCCCACAGTGATACAGACGCACCTCACCCGTTGTCAAATGCATGCACTGTGCTCCCTCGGGTGTGTCTATGGTGAGACATACAAGCAGGACACACAATCACACCCAAGGAGATCACGGGAAACAAATAAGTTGACTGGAGTGCAGAAACTTTGAAAATGCGTGTACTGTTGTTTTTTCATAATATGCCTCTCCGTGAACGTCGGAGGAACCCCTTGTATGAAGATTCTGAAAATCTCTTGCACTAAAATCTTTGGCATTTGCAGCATCGAGGAATTCTCTTTTACAGCCCCGTTTTCACATCTGACATTATTGCAGTCTATGGATGGCAATTCTGGACAAGACTGTGGAGCACCTCTGCCCTCTTGTGGCCACATCTGGGTATGGCAACAAAATACAGATTGCACCTTATTCGGTGAGACAGAAAGCGGCCCACCACTTCCGCACAAACATTCTCTCCAAAAACAGGAGCTGCAGGGCAACAGCCCAAGCTCGACCAGTGCCTTAGCAACTGAACACAGCAGAGGCATGGAGGGGACGGGGACAGAGCCACGCTGCGGTGCACTCCAGGAGGGACCCGGCACAGGCAGCCTCCGGCTCCAGGGGGCAAACCGGATGGCCCCTGGGAGGGGTCGAGTCCCGGCAGAAAGGAGTCTCCTCTTTGCCACAGGACTTGCTTGGGCATTTTTGCCCTGTGACTTAAAAATACAATCAGTCTACACTGAAGCCTCGGATGGCAAAAAATATCAGACAAGCAATGATTTTATGATACAAAAAGTGGGGAGAGCCATCACAACCCTGGACCAGAGCAGCCGCCCTTCTGGTGGGTGAAGTCACGGTCCCAAGGGGCAGTGTTTGTCCCTGCAGCCCACCACCCCCTATCAAAGTGCCCGGGGCTTCAGCTTCTCGATTCCCAATGCCAGGTTCCTGCCAACGCGGGCCCTGGGAGGCAGTGGTCGGGTTCCTGCCGCTCACACAGGTGACTAGAACTGAGTTCCCGGCTCCTGGCTTCAGCCTCAGCCCAGCCCTCGCCAATGCAGGCGTTTGGAGAACGATCCAGCAGATTGAATCTCTCTCTCTCTCTCTCTCTCTCCCCACACCCAATAAATACTTTTTAAAAAAGTAACAGTAATAACAGCTGGGATGGTGGGAGCACTGTTTTAGGTGCTTCTCATGAGTTTTCTTTCAGTGCCACAAAACCACATAAAGGAGGTATTTGCATGACCACCATCTGCAGCCCTGGGACACTGGAACTCCGAGAGGCTGCACAAGTCACTCGAGGCCACACAGCGAGGGAGGGGCCGAGCCACCGTGTGAACCCAGGCTGGCCTCCCCTGCGAGCTTTCTCCAGTCTCCCTGCTCCTGCACAGAGCGGCGCCCTCTGGTGGACACATGCTAGAACTGCAGGCAGAGAGCGGGGTCCCCAGCTCCGCCCCCACCCCCTGGCCGGTGGCCTTGAACTCAAGATGCTCACAGGTACCTGTGGGCCAGGCACATGTCAACGGGCGGAGCAGTGAACCACAGGGTGGCCGGGGGCCGCCGGGAGCCAGCCCGCCCTGGTCATCATCCCTAGACGGCAGCTCAGCTCCGTCCGCTCGGAAACCCCAACTTCTCAAGCGAATCAAGTGAACCCACACAAATGAAACCTGTGCTTAGCCTCACGTGGACGCTTCCTTCCAAGGATCCCGGACAGGAAGCCCCACCTTGGCTCCGCGGCGGGGCAGCTGAGCTGACCACTGCGCATGGGTGACGTGGGGGGGAGGGCTGCATGTATCTTGGGGGAGGCTCTTGACCTTGGGATGCCAAGATGGCTTCCGCAGGTGGGGCAACCCCTTCAGACAGGGCTCTCGGCCCCTGGGGCAGCGGTCAGCCCCTCCACTTCCGCCCAGCTCAGCGTGCCCCCCGGAGCCCGTGCAAGCTGGCTTCTGCCAGCCTCACTCAGCAGCCGGACTGGCCGCTTCCTCTCTGACGCGGGCACTGCGGACGCAAGCGTCTGAGTTGGTTTTAGGAACAGCCCGGCGCCCTCACGGGAACCCTGGGTACTGGGCTCTCAGAGGCCAGGGGAACAGCACCTCTCTTCTGCTTTTTCTGAGAGGCAGAGAGGCAGCCATCTGCGGGTTCACACTCCCAGGGACCCCCGGTGGCCCCCGACCAGGGCTGAAGCTGGGACCCAGGAACCCAATCCAGGTCTCCCCAATCCAGGTCTCCCACGTGAGCGCAGGAACTGTCCGCCTCCCAGGTCTGCACCAGCAGGAAGCCGGAGTCAGGAGTGGGCGCGAGACCCGGCCCTGCCCACGTGGGACCCAGGCAGGTCATCATCTCACCCGCCAGGCCAGCACCCGCCCCGGCTCACGAAGGACAGGGCTGCCCCCGCGGGCAGGCACCGGACGCGAGGCACCGGAGCTCAGCTTTGCCGCCGGGAAACCTGCGGCTTCCCACCAACAGCAGTGATCGGAGAAGGCTGACGGCTATGAGCGGCACCAGGAGCCCCGTAGGAGCTGGGCACCGAAATGGGCTCATCCCACTGGCCTCGGCGGCGCACGAGAACAGGAGAGACCCTTAGCCCTGTCCAGCCGCGGCTCCGACACAGGGCTTCCGACAGATGCGGCCGCCACCGGCCACAGGAGCCACCACGCGGCACGCAGAGGCTGCACCAGTTAAACATCCCGAGTGCGCAGCGGCTACCAGCGGCCAGTGGCCGCCGCCCTGGGCAGCACAGACAGCAGGCCCGTCCACCGTGGTAGAAAAAAAGTTGCCCTGGCCAGAGCCGGCCTGGTGACCCTGTCGCTAAGTGTCAAGGCGTGGGCAGAGCCCAGGGGCCCTCCGACCAGACGGCAGCCTCAGCGAGCCCGTGGGGCAGCATCGGAAGGCCCGCGTGCTGCCGGGGGACACGCACTGCCTGCGGGCCGACTGCGGGCCGGGGGCCGGGCGCCTGCCCAGGGAGGGGCCGCCCGCGGCGAGGCTGCTAAGGGGCAGGGGCCCAGGGCCCCCCGCGGTCACCTCCAGGACTTCCTTGCGCACGTCGACCACCCTGAACCAGTGCCGCAGCTGCGGGAAGCCGTCCAGCTCGGCGTTGCGCTCCTGCAGGGCCACCTTCTTCTTGCAGGACAGCTGCCGGCTGAAGTACTTGACCAGCTTGCTCTGTGGAGACACACACATGCGCACACGCGGTCAGAGGACCCGTCCGAGAGGCCCGGCCACCGCCCAGCGCCGCCCCCACCCCCGCCCTGGTGCAGCCACAAGGTGACCTTGCTTCCCACCTGCTGGGGAGCGGGCAAGGTTTGCGTGTATCCCCGCAAAGGCTCACGGGCCGGAAGCCAGGCCCGCAGGGTGTGACGGGATTGAGAGGTGATGGAGCTTCAAGAGGCGGGGCCTAGTGGGAGGTGATGACGTCATGGAGGCACCTTCGCCTCCTTCGTTCTCGCGAGAACTGAGTGTCAGCGAGATCATGGCGCACACACCGGAAGTCGTCTACCACGGTTGTGACACAGCCGAGGGGCCTCACCAGGACACCCACGCCATACTGGTTGCATCTTCAGCCACCGGACTCAAGAGTCAAGTACACTTTCTCTGCAAAGCATCCAGCCTCAGGCACTTTGCTAGAGCGACGCGGGGTGGACGAAGACGGCGCCCTTGTCCCAACCACGCCGGGCAAGCAGGGCGGCAGGCAACGGGAGGCCCCACCGCTGCACCTGCGTGGACCCCTGACCCCGCAAGTCCACTGCCGGAACTCACCCGGCAGACACCCATCCTGCGCGCAATCGCCCCGTCAAAGGAGTGTTCTGACAGTGCTAAGTGCAATGGCGAGGGACGGCCGCAGCCCTGAGCGTCCATCCGTCCGTCCGTCCGCCCGCGGGAAACTCCTGCACCCACAACGCCAGGGCCGCCCAGACACGCTCTCTGCAGCCCTGGAGTGAGGGCTCCAGCAATCTGGTTCCTGCCACTCACGTGGGAGACCTGGTTGCCTTCCAGGCCGCTTGATCTGGCACTGGCCCAGCCCCAGCCCTGGCAGGCATTTGATGAGTAAACCAGCGGGTGGGAGCGCTCCTTCTCTGTGGGCTTGCGCTTCTCTGCCTCTCAAAAAAAAAAAGTATATATGTATCAAAAATCACATTATTCCCTGTAAATATGTATGATTACTCTTCACCAAAAAACACTTTAATATGATACATTAAAATATTAAAAAATTTAAAAATAAGTATTTAGTACAAAATAATTGAAATCTATGCATATAGGGGTTTTCAAAAAGTCTGGGAAATTACCATGTTATGAAAAAATATGCATTGCTTTCAAAATATTTTGCATCAAAATAAACTTAGCTCTACTTTTCCAGGAATCTTGTGAAATGCCCTCTTACAACCATCTTTGCGACTTAAAACATAATTACTGAAGCTAATTAAATGAAACAACATGACAACCCTTGGGCACGTAGCTATGGGGGTTTTCATAGTCGAGAGGGTAGTCCTGGAGTGCCAGGATCCCAAACCCAGAGCCAGGAATGGCTCAGCGGGTGCCTGGCTCTCGCTTCCGGTCTGTGCTCCCCAGGTATCTGACAGGGACCTGGGCCTGGCCAAACAGCCTTGCTGGGATCAAGGGTCGCAAATGACCCACCAGGGCCACTCAGCACCTCCCAAGACCTCATCCCAGCACACAGGACACCGCCCTCCACCACTGGAGCTGCCCACAGGGTGTCCCGGAAGCCTGGAGCCACCCGGCCCATCCCTGCCGCCGTCTGAGGGCTGGCGTGAGATGGAAGCCCACTGGGAAGAAAGCAGAGCCAGGAATGGGCCCCCTCCAGACCACATCCATCACGTGGGCCCTGATAACCACATCCATCACACATGGCCTCCAGATAACCCTGGGCTCAGCAGTGACGTGTGGAGCCCACGGCATCTCTCCCTTTGCTTACACTGGGGGGAGCTGGGTTCCTGTCCCCAAGCCTCTTGCCCCAGGGAACAGCTAAAGGGTGGCGAGTCCACCCACACTAAGGGTATCCCTGCCTCTCGGGAGGGCCCCTGGTGGTGACATTGAACCCGCTCGGATAACCCGAAATGACCGTCCCATCTCAAGATCCTCAATTACACCTGCAGAAGCCCTTTTGCTGGGTAAGGGATCGGGACCTGAGTAGCCCTGGGAGGATATTACCCATCTCACCGTATCTGTGTGGTTTTCCTTGGCAACAGGTTCAGCTCTACCAGGTTTACCAAGTACATACTGAGGCCCTGCCACAGAGCTAGAGTGCACTTGGGCAGAGGCATCCAGAGAAGGGGGCAGAGAGGGTCCTGGGGAGCAGGTGCTCCACCTGGTGGTTAAGAAGCGGTTAGGACACGCGTGAGTCTCATATCTGAGTGCCTGGGTTTGAGTCCCGACTCTAGCTGCTGGCAAGTGCAGCCCCTGGGGGCAGTGGTGATGGCCCAAGGTGTGGGTTCCTGTCTCCCACGCGGGGTACCTGGATGGAGTTCCTGGCTCTCAGCCTCATTGTGGGCATTCCAGGGGGTGAACCTCCTCTCTCTCCTCTCTCTCTCTCTCTCTGCTGCTGCTGCTCAAATAAATGACATCTTTTTAAATGAAAGAGATGGCTCTGAGCCCTACGGGGCTCCCAGACAATCGCAGAAAAAGGTGAGCAAACGGTCAGTGCTGGGGACACTTGGAGGTCATGACCGGAGGTAACACGGGTGCAGAAAAGCCCCTGGGACAGTGCCAGCTGCCAGCGAACACCCTGCCCGTACACATATACTTTACTCAGTCCTCATGCTTACTAGCATCCGTTGCCACCATTTTCAAAGAAGAATATTCCACGTGGAATGCTGAATGTCTGGTGTCTGCTGCAGAATCCAAAGACCGGCTCCACGGACTCGCATTCGAGGCCAGGCAGCAGGGCTGGGGCAGTGTGGGGTGTGCCCCGGGCAGCCCACACCTCACCACTCCCTACCGCGCCCTGCCTCTGCGGCCAGCCTGACCACGTTGCAGGGTGGAAAGCCACAGAAGAAAGGAGACTATTTCTTTTGCTACCATCTCCACTTAAAATGAAGAGAAAAAAAAAAAAAAAACTGGATTCTAAGAAAGATGGCAATGGTGGAAGGAGACTTCTTGAAATCTCCCTGAAGCCTCTCTTGTGAAAATTGACAAAAGGACAGCAAAAGCTTTCAAATCCATGAAAATGGTTTCTAAAGGAATCCTGCGTCTCAGAATCCATACTGCAGAAATGCTCACGCGTGTGTGTGTGGCAGAGGCTGAGAGGCTGGCTGGTCTTTGCAGCACAGTTTGGGGTTTTAAAAACTTTAAGTTGGGGCCGATGCTGTGGTATAGTAGGCTAAGCCTCCACCTGCGGCACCGGCATCCCATGTGGGCACCAGTTCTAGTCCCAGCTGCTCTTCTTTTGACCCAGCTCTCTGCTATGGCCTGGGAAAGCAGAAGAAGATGGCCCAAGTCCTTGGGCCCCTGCACCCACATGGGAGACCCGGAGGAAGCTCCTGGCTCCTGGCTTTGGCCTGGCCCAGCTCCAGTCATTGCAACCATTTGGGAGTGAAGCAGTGGCTGGAAGACCTCTTTCTCTGTCTCTCCCTCTCTCTGTAACTCTACCGCACAAGTAAATAAATAAAATCTTAAAAAAAAAAACTTGAAGGTAGTTTTTAAAATATGCATTAGTAGAAAAGCTAAATATCAGTAAGTTGTAGCACATCACAGAACAGAATTCTATGTAAATTTTTAAAAAGGAAGATTGATACATGTTGATTTGAGTAACTCTCCAAGATGCTCATCGCCAAGGAAAACTCAATTGACAGAGACACTGCATAATAGGATTGCATTTACATTTTTAAAAATTCTACACACGTTTCTAATGCGTAGGAAAGCATCTGGCAGAACACAGCATATACAAACACAAGAGTATGGGGGTGACCAGTGGCTCTGCATTCTACTATGCACAATTATTGTTTTAGTGTTCAAAATCAGCACATGTTACTTTGCTTTTTCAATATTTAGAATTTTCTTTTAAACACACCTTTTCTAGTTATCTACTCTGTTTATTTGAAAGATGAAGACAGGCCAAAGTCTCCCGCCCACTGGTTCAATCCCCCAATGCCCACAACTAGGGGCTGGGCCAGGCCGAAGCCAGGAGCTGAAAACTTAGTCTGGGTCTCCCATGTGGGCAACAGGAGCCAAGTACTTGAGCCATCACCTGCTGCCTCTTAGGGGGCACATTAGCAGAAGCTGGAATCATGGGCAAACCCAGGCGCTCTGATAAGAGATGCATGCATTGTAACCACTGCACCCAACACCAGTCCCTAGAACTTTGTTCTTAATTAAGACTCAGCTGTGGGCTGGTGCGGTGGTTCACTTGGTTAATCCTCTGCCTGCGGCGCCGGCATCCCAAATGGGCACCAGTTCTAGTCCCGGTTGCTCCTCTTCCAGTCCAGCTCTCTGCTGTGGCCCGGGAAGGCAGTGGAGGATGGCCCAAGTGCTTGGGCCCTGCACCCCATGGGAGACCAGGAGGAAGCACCTGGCTCCTGGGTTCAGATCGGTGCAGCGCCGGCCGTAGCGGCCGTTTTGGGGGGTGAACCAATGGAAAGGAAGACCTTTCTCTCTGTCTCTCTCTCTCTAACTCATCTGTCAAAAAAAAAAAACTCAGCTGAAATCCTCTGTCCACACTTCATACACACCTAATCTTTGTCTCAGGCAACAAGTATTTATTAAGTCCAATTGCATATAGGACACTGGTCTGGGCTCTGGGGATCAATAAGAAACACAATTGACCAACGGTTCACTTTGTTTCTGACATTTTCTGCATACAGAATTAAGGCCAATCCTGAATTTCTAGAAAAAAAAATTAGATATGAAGTCTGTATCTAACACCTACCACCATTTATACCTTTAGTACGCCTGCTTCTATTGCTGCAATGAAATACCCAAGACAGGGTACTTTATAACGAAGTTTATGGGGGCCAGCGTTTATGTGCCGTAGCAGGTAAAGCCACTGCCTGTGATGTCGGCAGCCCATTTGGGTGCCACTTCATGTCCCGGCTGCTCCACTTCTGATCCAGCTCCCTGCTGATGCACCTGGGAAAGCGGTGGAGGATGGCCCAAGTGCTTAGGTGCCTGCACCCACATGGGAGACTGGAATGAAATTCTTGACTCCTGGT